TTTTTATATACATTTTTTTTTCAATAAAACTTGGTGTTACATTGCTGGGATCCGCGTTTTTATTTTTAATATTTATCCCAATTAAACCTTTTATAACACGAACACCCCCCCCCCCCCCCCCCCCCTCTCAAAGTTTGCTCCAACAGAGACAAACTAATATTAGGACGACATAGAAATAGGTAATGATTGGGTCGAGGAGTTTAAACTATACCTTGAAAAATGGCTAGTGTGATCGGGCGAAGGGATAATTTAGGTAGGTAGATAGTCAGAAGCATGCAAGTTGGCGATTCTCACCAACTTCCTTGATGTAGGCATAATAATACCTGTACTTCCCGGCCCTCCTATGGATAGATGGGTGGCTTCGGTCCGATTTTGAACGAACTATGAATGTATCTGTACGGAATCAACTGATTTCTCTTAATAAGAGGTACCTATAGACTAGATACTAGGTGTATGTCTATCCATATTGAATAGGTCACATTAACACGTATGCTGGCCATCCCGAGCCAATTCTTGTCCTCGTGCCATCAGATTCTGCTGTTGGGTAATCACGCTGCTTAATAGATACCGCCCTAGCCGTGCTACTAAGGAGGAATTATCGCTTTTCGGCCATGTGAAACTAACCACTTACTGATGAGATCGGGCCAGACGGATCCGAGACCTGCAAAGTGATGTTGTCGGCCCGTCCTAGCAAATAGGGTTTCCGCGTAATCCCCCTGGGCGTTTGCTTGCGCCATGGCACCTCGTCTAGCTTCAAGCTCGCTGTTGGAGCAGGAGATGATCATATCGGTATAGCCGGTATTGAGATATGCCCGTGAGGTAGTAAGGGCTTTTTCCCACGCGGCTAACGCGGAATCCACTCGCCCGTTCATATGATGAACGATAGCAAGCCCAAATAGGATAGATAGGTGGTCGATTTTGTCAAAGTACGTAGCTACCGCCGCAGAATGAGCCAGTTCTTGAAAAATGTCTTGGGCTATCTGTAGCGAACGCCAGTCCAACGGAAGCCCCTGTAATGACTTCTGCATGGACCAGATGAGGTATGCATTTCCTAGAGCAATTTTCACTCGTTTCATGCCTCTCAAATCCGTTCTATTCTTGACCTGAGCATCCAATAGCTCGATCCCTTCCTCGCACCTTTGGAGTTCACATAGTATTGTGCCAAGAAGCGATACTACCTTATTGTCGGTGAGCCGTAACGATCTCAAGAGATCGTAGCTTTCTTGAAATCGGCCTTCAAATCGAAGGATTCTAGCACGCATTAATGCTACCTTACTTTCCTGTACCAACCCCAAGGATGACACCACCCCACCCCACGAAGACTTGAATGATGCCAAATACCTTAGCGCAGATGCCAATGCATTGAGACGGATGCAACCTCGGGCCTTCAGGATTGCAAGGTCAGCTGAGAATGCGTTGGAACGATGATCAGATATAGGGAATGTGATAGTCTCGTGTGACTGACTCGCCTCCTCGTATAGGTCAGCCAAGGTTGCTCTCCTTACCTGGACCCTAGCCGCCAGGACCGCGCCGTATGGCAATCCTTCCGCCCCCTTCACGGCCCGGGCAGCAATTTCCATCGCAGTGTATTTCCACGATTTGTTACCGAAATACGAAGTGGACAAGCATGTCTCAACTAGCTGCACAAGACATGACCCATCCACTAACGTCTCGAGCTGCAGGGGGCCAAGATAGGAGAACACACTCTCCAATTGACGCTGGAGGGTCTCACAATCACCAACATAGTTACATTTCGTTGATGCATCAGTTACTAGATGAGCAACGTTATCATAATTCCCGGGTGGGAGTAGTGGATACTTGGGAAACGAATGTGCCATAATCCGGATAGCCTCAGCGATCCATCTAGTCCGCTCCAAGCGTGCGCGTAATAGTTCTGAAATACGACGATCAAGATCTACGGTCTTCTCCGACACTCGTACGAACCCAACATGTTCTAGGCGTTGAAGAGCAGGCATTAGCTTGCCCTCATCGGCAACCGTATTGATCGGCGGACTGGTCTCGGCGACTTCTCCATCTTCACCCCACGACAACGATGGCGCCTGCATACGATGGAACACAATATTAGGTATGCATGACGTGCCCAAGCATCGTAAAACACAAGCGAGGTTTTGAGGGTTAGGTGCTAGCTTATCTAGGATTTGACTCAACCATTCACTCATCGACGGGTGGCAGGGGAATGTGCTTGCCCTCGTGATGAGCTGCAGTTGTGACTCGTGGGACGCCGTTTTTAGAAAGTAATCTAGTATTTCGCGGCTATGGGGGTTGCGATGAGCATCGCTAGTGGCGTTGAAGATACCCACGAGAGAAAGCGGACCGCCACGACCGAAGGCCAAGCTGATGAGATCTGCCCTCGGTGTGTTTCTATTTCGATGATCGAGTGTTCGACTGAGCACATATGCGCGTGCATACCTATCCTGGGTTCCTTGAAAAGCAAGTAGGGCATCACGTACGGCCCGTTCGGCGTGGATGAAATCTAACGTGTCTGAGATACTCTGCTGACACTGAATGATCGCGTCCACCAATAATCCACGAACTACGTAAGGATCCCGCTGAATAGCAGTCACCATATCCAAACTCTCCCCGTCGTCGCCAACACAAACTAGCCGCATGGTGGGTATATTGAAATAGTAATAGTAATAAAATATATTTTACTCTGGGTATTATCTCATGTATCAGGCAATAAACGGGGTGAATTGGGTATAGAGCTAGTATGTATTAGGAGGTAATTTTGGTATACCTGAGGGGCTATGTCAGGTTAGGTAGGAGGTACTTTAGGTAGGTACCTCTTAAGCCGGTAATGTTTACCTTTTGGGCGGGGAAGAGGCTCTTCCTCGAGTGATCCACTTTAATTTGCGTCAATTGTGATTTATGTATCATAGTATTACATGCCAGGCAAAGCTAGGGTATTCCCCTAGCAAGGTACGTACTATCCGAATCCCACTAATCTCGAAAGGGCAGTTCCTTACGGAATTAAGCTCACTACCTAACCTACCTAGGCATATAACCTGAACATAATTTTTACAACACTTTTAGTATAACTAACTTACCTGCCTTGGTACCTACCTCTTACATAAGTACTTAGCTTAAGTACCTACGTAACTAGAATTGATATTGCACTAGTCAAGATCTAATATGGAGTATAAAAAAAGGATGATTTATCAAGATCGATATACATATCTGGGAACACACCTAGTGTTACGATTTAATACCATCTTGTAAATGCTGCAATAGTGTTGATTGACTAACTACGTTTAGGAACTCGGGTTCTAGCTAAGCCTTGAAAAAGTCTATAAATAAGCCTAATATTTGTACCCTTACAGGAATAGTTGATAGCCCTGTAAATACCCCTAACACTTAGTTGGGGAGCGTAAACCCCCTACTAGGTACATGATAGAAAGAAACCAGTGACCCCCTTAGGGAGCCTTACCCTGCCTAGGTACCTTAGGCGCCTAATAGAAGACATCTAAAATAGTCGACACTATATCCGCCAAAGTACTAATTACCTTTTTCCGTTCCTTCGGATCCTTCTTGGACCCAATATCATCAATTTCCATAAACTCCTCCTGAACCTCTTTCACCGCTCTTGCTTTACGTTTAATTCCAACCATATATTTCCGTAAATCCTGGGGCGGGGCGCCGTCTTCCTTTTCTATCTCCATCATTTCGAGATTGGTGTTTGCTGCTTCCTGAATACATTCCCTCGCCACCCTAGCTACAGCTCTCTTCATGCGATTTCTAACATCCTCACGAAATGCCAAATCGTAGTCTACGTCTGCACTTTCGCCGGCATTGTCATTATTGTGTATATGGTTGCGTGTGGCTACCTAGATGAACGGGGTTCTGCTGTAAGCTATGAGGCTTCCGAAGGTGATACTTTCTCTTACAGTTCCATCCATGATGTTGGATATCCCGAGTAGAGTTCCTTGAGGCAATAGTGTTCGGGTGGCTTCAAAGATATTCTTATTCGCGTCGACCTTTATCGCTGTAGGTAATTCGTGTAGTTCTTGAGTTTACCCGAAGCTATTTTCGAGATAGAAATCTGTTCTAAGTATTGCGTATTGGTAGGACCCGGTGTGCCTCTAAATACCTTTTCCCCATAATATTTTCTCACCTGGACGGACACCTTGGGAATCCGCATAACCTAGTTCACGACACTTCCGTCATTGAATTGGGAAACCCCATCGGCATTCGGGATCTTCATCGATACCTACACCGTTGTTTAGGATCGCATGATACCCTCTATGGGCTTTTTTGTGTGATGTTGTTCTTAATTTAATCGTGCAAATAGAGCCGAGTCCCTGAAGGGGGGTATATACTACCTTCTGCTTGCATCAGCTTGTCTAAGTGTCAATCTCGGAAGCACCTTCACACTAGTTATCGACACATGCTTACGCCTGGCCAACATATTTCTTAGTTCCAAGGAAACTTGGCCACCAACGGACAGCTTCGTATTGAGAAGGAGGAACGAAACCTTGTCATTCTTACCTATCATTACCTTGTTAGGTCTTTCGGAGTTGCTAGAACAAACGTGAAAGACCCGGAACTGGTGTTGTGTGGAGGGCGGACCGAAAGGCACCATTTGATTTGACCGCCCTTTCATGGCTATGTCTTCAAGTACGATGACAGGCTTCAGGTTACATGCATATCGATAAATGAAGTACACAACACTAGGTACCTGGCCAGCAAAGAAGCCGAAACTAAAATATTACAAACATCGATGCTACCTAATTACCAACTTGTATGTGTCACTAGTTAAAAGAAGCATAGGTACTTATGTACCTAGCCTAGTTGATGTTGGTGCATGGCTTGGTGTAAAAACCTAAGCGATTGTAACAGTTATGCTGATCGAGGTTCTAAGTTCGATTTGGGCTATGATATAGGTACCTAGGTACCTAGGTATGTACGCATTTAATACGAGAGACCAACTTATAGGTATAGACGCTCTGTTGATTACTCAGATATGTAAGGTACCTGCACCTTATAATACGGTACGCCAAGTCTGCAAGATGTTCCTAAGTAGTGGGTCCGTTTCAACCCAAATTTACTGTAGCACCGTACTGGACGGGATAAAGGCGGTGCCATCCTGGCGCACGTGAACTGTAACGCTGTCAATTCGAACAAGTTTGACCCCTCTGTTCCTCATTCAATCAATATCTTTGGTCAAGAGGTATTTAAGTCTTATTCATCCCGTTGTACCTGAAACCTAGCTTGTCTTGCGATTGCAAAGCTACCTACCTATCTTACTCATATTCTATCCTGCAAAACAGCCCATATTCCGTGTTAATTTCTACACAATCATCTATCAAAATGTCTTCTTCAAGCCAGACCAAGTACCCCAAGAAAGCCAATGCTCCCAACGAAGCATCTGTGGTGCTTCTCCGCAGTCTATGCGAACGTCTCAAGCCCATGCTAAACACCGCCGTCTATCTCAGCCAGGAGCAACTGAAGGATCTTGGGGTCGAGTGTGCAGGGCTTGACCTCGACACCGGAAAACCAACAGATAAAGGTCCAAGGTTTCTCCAGTTGGCATCGATGAGTCAGATGGAGACCCTGGCTGAAAAGGCAAACCTGATTGATATGGACGTCGTCCAGGACTCGACGGAGAACGACTGGCATACAATGCGTTTTATTTCGTACTTTTACTTGACATTATTCCGATTGGTCCCTGAAGAGGACCACCCGGATCGGCAAACCATTCTCCAGAAGACACCGTGGTCCATTACCAAGTAAGTGATTTATAAATGCTTTGAGTGGTCATTGGCAGTAAACGGGTACTCGAATAAGCTGACATGAAAATAAGTTTCGAATATATTGGCAATTCTACCGCAGAGGGATGCCACTGGGTTGTTGGTTTCGCCTTGAAAGTTTCTGACAAATCTATGCCAGATGTAGTATGCTTCCTTGGAAACGAAGAACCACTCAGGGACGACGAGATCTATACCAGCGAACTTTGGTGCATTTCTCGGTTCGGCGGCGGTGAATTGATAAAGAAGGAATACCGTCATCATCAGACAGCGCCTGTGAGTTCCTAGAGACCGCACCACTATATTAGTAACTCCCTTTTTTAAGTTTTACTGATATTATCTAAGGTCACCGTTGTATCAGTTTCGGGCAGAAGCCTTCGTGTGGTGCAAGGTTATACCGATGGGCGCGTTGTCGTGCGGAAGTCGCCTATTTACGAGCTTGATAGCGACGATGAGACTAACTTGTCGGTACTCCTGAAGTTCGCTCCCTGGTTCTTGGGCCATCCATGCAGAGAATGACTGGATCATCTGGGCTAATTTGCGGTTTAACTTGGGATTGTCATGAGATTGATCTCCTTGAGTTTATCTACCTACATATTGCCGACAATACTTATCAATGAAAGTCTCCTTTGTTCATCTACATACACACAGACACTCTAAATTGCAAGACACGCCTAGATAGCTTCTCTAAAATTCATATCTCTATAGCTGCATGGTATATTTCTTGCTTTTTCTCTTCGAGAAGGTGTGCAACTACGATGCTCTCATATTGACATCTAGTTTCTAAAGAAAAGTAAATCCCAAGTAAGATTAACAACGTTAAGACCTGTGACTTGTAGCATTGATGATGAAATACAGGGCATCTAGGGAGCAAAGAAATGACTTATGCATAGAACACTCGCGTGATCGTATTTTCCCAGTTCTGATTCTTCTTCAATAACAATCATATTATCTATTCTACACCTAAGATCCACATGAGTACACAGCGATATATTGGGTTAGTGAATATATCTTTACGAGTAAGATATAATGTCCTGAGCCAGCTATTACAACTTCTCGGTCACTTCACGAAAGTATCATCTAAACCCCTACTTGTGAAAACTTGCGGCATGATAAATAAAAGGCTATATCAATCTGATCTATTCCTTTTTCGGCCTTGAACTAGTTCGTGTTCTGAAAATAGCAGCTAGAATCGTAAGGGTGCCCGAGTGTGTGCGTGAAGTTAAGTCTACAGACCGCCTAATCGTCGGCATGTCAATCGGTAGATGAGCTTAGGCATAAATAATGAGTAAGCTGAGTTTGTAGCATAGCCTGATGGTACTGTAGTAAGAAGGTTGGGGTCGCAAGTCTACCGTAAAATACGATACGACATCAAATATGGTTTGATTTAGTATCTAGGTAGGTATGTATAATTCAGGGATTTCGCTGTACCTAATTTTAGCGCAAGAGGCAATTTCTACGGCTTACTTCCTTGTTCTCTGAGTTGTCATCCTCTTACTGTAGTTATAAGCGACTGGTATCTGAGGATTGAATCCCTGCTGTAGCGCTATAACCCAAGCCGGATGTTAGGAAAAGAATTTCCATAATTATCGTTATTAAATATTTTCTCCCTTCGTTCGGCTTCAAATTCCAGAGCAGAATATGTTCTAGCGTAGGGGGGTGACCATACCATATTGCGGGAAAACCGAAGACCTGATGGGAATTGACAAGGGAGTTTCGTAAATGTAACCTTACATACCTAAGATGAGGTTGAAGGCCTAGATTAGGTATTATTCCCAGTGATACGTATACAAAACTATAGAGATTGGGGGTCTGGGTAGTGATACCGATCTACTAGATGTGTTGAACTACAATGGCTGGAAACCACTCGGGTATTATCGCAATGCATGTTCTGAATTTATCATGGTAACATTAGGTGATTGTTCTACTGGGGACTCAAACCATAGATACCTAGGTACCAAGTAAGCGACCAAATAAGACATAGCCCTCTTAGTCTTTCATCCTATTTGTAATTACCTCCTATTCTCGCTCACCACTAGGGGCTATCACATGTGATCGTCACAGCAACAACTATAATAGTTCTTCGGCTTTTAAAAAGAAGTCTTAGTATAGTAGGTATTGTGCCATAGACACGTATATTGTATATGCATACCTCTTAACGGTCAATTCCCCTATCCGTTCACGCGTGTTCCTTGGTATTTACCTACAGTTACATTCCATATCGGAAGCATATGAGCACACAAATTTACATAATATGTATCTCTAATGTAACACACCATCCGTAGATGCATCTCAAGTTGGTGCAGTGGGGAAGGTTGGGTTTAATCTTCTGGTCATCCAACGCATGGTCTTCTTGCACTTGACGTTGGCCAGCGGAACCCATGTTACATCTTGAGGTCTACGATCTTGCTGTAGTTGGCTGATAAATAAACCCCCACTTCATGTGGTTATTCTAGCAGAGTACCTAGGGATGCATGTCAGACGTATGTTCAGAGGTTAACGAGGTAATATGTTCTTTGTGGGGCTTGATACAACTAGATGTTGTAACTGGGAATCCCGCTCATTAACAGGAACGGCCACCATCCCTAGCTTCCAATCAAGGAGAGAGAAGCTTGCTTTAGGGTGACCACATGGACGCCCCCCCAATAGGTAGACTGTCATGGAATGGCTAAAGAGCCTGCTTTATCAAGCTGACCGCCTTTTTCGTGATGTTGGATCAAGATTAATCTATATGCATGTCATTCTAATGAGCGGTAGCGAAAGGCTACAAGACACCTGCAACTGGGTACGTCGTTGGTGGTCAATAGGAGAAGAAAAGGGGAGCTAGATTTTCGTATCGATTTGCCGTGCAAATCACGACATTCGAGATGGATGTGTTCACAATTTTCGTTTCTATACTAGTCCGTTACTGTCTTCTAGGCAATATATATGATTACATATAAGCGACCTAAGTAGAGGCTCAGCATCGTAGCTCTATTCTCTGTCTCCTATTGCTACCAGCCTGACGATAATCTTTCATTCTACTTGACTCCGTCTACCAAGCGTCTCTTACAATGGCTGGCATAACAATGCATACATTGCCTAGAAACGAGCCCGAATGGTGGATCGCTGCCAGAAAGTATAAGTCGGCGAATCCTCTTGAGACTTCTATTCACGACGCCGAATACGTCAAGGCTTCTGGCTCTAAGCTAATAAATCCAGAATGTGTGGACATCCATGTTCTATGGCCGCATGAGAAGCGACCCAAGTTTGGAACTGATCGCCATGTGGATAAGATCGTCCCCCAAAATTGTTTCTCTCAGTCCCGAACTCATCTCGAGGGGGACGAACGCTTCGCCGCATACATAGAATGTATACGAAATTTTCCAAAGAGCGTATCGTCCTCCGATTCTAAGAAGTTGGGAATTTTCGCCCACGTTCTAGAATCACAGATTTATACACGAGGTCTCCAAGGCGAAGATGAAAACGACAAGTTAGACCTCAGTCCAATCGCCAACAGGACAAGGGCCCGTCTGGCTCAGGCTAGTCAACTTCGTCCCCAGACCCCATCCACCCCAACTCCTTTGCGTCGACAGCAAGAACTTGTTCAGCCTCTGCATCATATGGATATAGATGTAGAAATGAACGACGATATACTGTCTTCACCCATGTCTATCACCTATGGAGGCTCACCTGTGACTGGTGAGGAGGCAAAGCAAGCCAGCGTGATAAAAAATGAGCAGGAAGTGGTCATTTGTCTCAGCATCTTGATAAGAGCGCTTCGCCTTGTAACTGATTCTGTTCAAACCGCAAGATATGCAGCCGAGCAAGCAATCTTCACAGTGGTAGATAAAGAAAACGAGAAGGTCTACAGTGCTAAAGTGGATGGTGTTGTCCGCATTTATCCCAGAGGAAAGATATGGGTCATTAGCGAGACGAAGAAAGGGCCCCGCTATCGTGGTAATCTCTCCGGTGCTGAGATCAAAGCACAAGAATCATCTGAGATGGCGGCATGGATCGCCGAAGTGCCGCCTTCCAACCTTGAAGAGATGCGCGAAAAGAATTTGCTTGATCGGTACGTAATGCCTTATATTCACGGGGAAAAAACAGGCGTGACTCGGATTACTGATTTTCCATAGTCGTCTTATGATTAATCAGAATAAGGACGAAGTCTATATCATTGTTGGGACGTACAGCGCGCACTACGTCGACTACATTTGCCACCGAGAGACGGATAGACTGGACTTTTTGGTGATGCAGGAAATTGGCCCGTTCAGGTGTGAGGAATGGCGAGCGATGAAATTACTGGCAGAAATTATTTTGGCCATTCTCATTTGGGCATGTGAGTGTGAAGCTGGCGTAAGAGAGGTGTAGTCTACAGCCACCCATGAAATAGAGGGGTTTGACCTCTACTACTAGGTGTTGGGCTCGATTTCTTATGACAGTGAAAGGGTGAGTGGTATCAAGAAAGGAGGACATTAAAAGAGACATCTATGTGCGGATGCCTGCTTGCTTACGCAATTTTTTTCTAGTCCCTCGCTCGATAACTACTTTGCAAATTCATTTATAGGCTAGTGACATAGGTTGTGAAGAGATTCGGATAGTCATTCATTTGGTTGTATAGGTACTTATCCACAAAGATCAATATAAATATTTTGGTTGCTCCGGCGAGTTCGACGAGTCAGTTAATAGCTTGACCTGACCTGAAACTGACTTGACCTAGCTTGGGTAGGTCCCTTTGGGGGGTGTTTATCCAATATAGGCAGAAAATGTTTGATTTGCTTAGTAGACAGGTAGAAACGAAGGTAGGTATTGCCCCAAAAGTATATAGGAAACCTGGTTGTTCCTTGGGGAACTCTAAACCTACGTAGGTACCCAACTATAGAATCTTAAGCTATATACACTGAAGTCATTCTGTGTTCTAGGTAGATGTCTCATCTAGATTCCTAACAACTTCACTTAGTTTATCGATTTTTCTTGCGAGGATGCTTCAGCATCCTCGTAAGCAACAATGTATGTAGCTATTGATTCTATATTTATGAAGACAATTCTCACGATTTGTTGGGGTTAATACCTAGTAGATATGTAAGAAATGATATTCAAATTGTGACTGTAATCCTACGGCCCCTTAGGTACTGCCCCCCCCCCCCTCTCTCTCACATTCCTCAACGTCACGAGCCCCTTCGACATCATTATCCCACATGCCATAAACTCCCTGGCTAGCCAAAAATTAGATTATCAGGCTTGTGAAGTTTCACGGCCTGTACTTACCTTGAAAACCTTGCGAGTTTTGGAGATAATTTGCCATCCTTAGTTGTATCCAGAACGCGCATAGTCTTCGTAATATCCCCAGGAACCGTGATAATTGCCGCGGCCGTCGACCTCATAGCTTCGACATTCGTTGTCACTGCTTACACCGTATCTACTTTAGGCTTTGTTAATATACCTACCGTACATTGAAAAAGCTTGTTTGGGAAAATTAGGTACTCACCTAATGTAGAGAGGCATATAGTTAGAGTGCATTGTATAAGAGTTGGTTGAATATGGGAAGTACGTGATTGTTGTGCTAAGCTAGAACGAATGGATGCTTCTTCGAAGATGTGGGCTTCTCTCTTCTATATTATAGAAAGATACAGTGTTATCTTATCTACCTAGTTATCCGTCCTCCAAGACTATTATAAATAGAACCAACACTCACTAAAGTTACATGGTTTCAGCTGAGAAAGGGTCAGGTGCGCTTAGCCCGGCACGAGCCTGACTGGTTCATACTAGGTATCTCTACCACGTCGCTTCACTTTCCCTTTATGGTAAAGATTCATTATTTATTTGATGATGGAGGCATGATGATCTACCGAGGTATATTTATGGCCGGTACCTCTTGCTTCCTGGTATTGAATTCATGCTACCACTCTAGGTGGAAATCTGGTTGTCGATACGTTCCTGCTCCGTATCACATGGGTTATCATCACAATGAGCTGATGCTTTCCCCAGTCGTGTAAATCGATTTCGTATGAACTACTCATGTATTCTACGAAGGTGATATGCGTCGGGCCGATTCCCATTAGGAGCAATGAATACGCTAGGAGAAGCTGTGGTCTGCATCAAGAGCATATCACATTTGAAGAATACAGGCAAGGTTGCATTGATATACGTTCTTCTTAAGTCCATCTAGGTAATGGAGGCTCTTGTAGCACATATACCATGCCAGCCACTTAGGTACATACCTAAGGTTTTTGGTAGATGGTATGTATGTAAAGATCGGCGGTACTTTGCCCCCCTTTCCCCCTTTTCCTTTTCCCTACCCCCGTTCCCTCCTTTTTGTACCTTTCGTATAGTACCCAACATTTAACTTCTTCAATTTAATTGGAAATAGTAATATCAGTTAAGTCTGTATCCCCTTTCATGGTTGATAGATCCCAATATTCCTCGATGGACATGGTGATGAATGCGGCCAATATTACTTGTATATTTAGAAGACAACGGTGATCATGGGGTTCTAACTCTTCACTCTATTTCTACACGATTTTTAATAAGAAAGCTTTCTCCGCTGCGATTGCCGTTCTAGCAAATCAGATTCAGCTTTCCTTTTATGAGTACGGGTGCCAAAGGATGCTGCCAAGCCACTACGAGAAACCAGTTCCGGCAGTATGTATGGCGAACCGCTGAGATGGAAAGCAGTATTCCATTGCATCTCCTTGAGCTCTAAGCTGATGGATGAATGTCCAACGAAAACGAGCGCCACCTTGATGTTTCCTTTGGCATCTTTGACCGGCTTAAACTTTGTCTTTTGCCCATTAATCAACAGGACCGAGTTTTCGAGACGCTCTAGGATGAGCGTGAGTGCTGGATCTCCTGCCCTTCGCAAACATAGTATATTTCCCTTTACGTTAAAACAGGACCCAAATGGTGTAGGTACTTCTGTTAACTCAAAATAAAACAGAGCAGCAAAGAGCCTCCGGGCAAACTTGTCGATAGTATCTCGTAATGCGGTGTCCTGGAGGACAAGGGATCTTAGCCGAGGCATCGCTGTAGTGTCATCGAGGCTGGTTTCTCCATGGAGAGTAATGTTAAGTCGATAGTAACTGTTCGTCCTAGCCTCCTTCTTTAGGAGGCAAGTGACGTCGTTCCAGGTTCTTTGGCCTTGCAAGTGAGATAGGTAGGCTCGGACAAGTCGTGTTAGCCAGCCATATCGCCGTGGTCTCTGAGGCCTCTCATCTTCCAGGTCGAGTTCCAGTGATGTCCCGGCACCTAAATTAAGCACGAAATCAGGCCTTGCGCCCAACGCCATCGTCCCAAATTCGGACATGCCAACCAAAGTAGGGTTATTCCGTACGATGCCGCCGTCTAATAGGTTCCCGAGTCCTGGAATGTATTTTGGCAAAAAGTACCTACACGCTAGTTAGACATAACCACAAATGGGTGCAGAGAGACTGGAACGTACATCGGAGCGGCGGAAGTGCTTCGTGCCCTGCCTCACCGTTAGAAATCTCAAACATTATTATGCTATACTAGTCACTGGTACTTACACCTCCCATGTCTTAACGTCATTGCTACCTTGATGGACCACGTAGCCAACTCTGGCTTCGCCAATTCCATTATAGTTTGTAAAGAGATAAGTAACTGGTACTTTAGTATTTGTAGTGGCAAGCACACCAATCTTTGTCCCGGTGAGGGTGGCGTAGGATGGGTTCGCCATTCTCTTATTGCCGAACACTTTTACTAAAGCACCGTCTATCCCCTTTGAAGGATATAGGCAACCCAGAAAAACAAGATGAATCCATTTAAGCACTAAGAAAAATAGAAAGAACCCGCGGACAGGGCTGTAAAAGGCTTCTCCGGCCAATGTTTCTAATTTGAAGGTGCAAGTGGCCGCAGACCAACCTTTATCGTATAAACCAAGGACAAGTAACCCCCCTATTAGACCGGTCAGTATGGCACCTAACAGCGGAAATCAAACTTACCAACGCTCACACCATATGCTAGGCTGAAGTGCTCCTGGACTGGAATTGGAAGACCAAGAGACTCCTGAATCAGTTCTAGCACAGTAGATGGAATGATCCCGCAAACACCTCCTCCATCAATGCAGAGGATTCCATGACCTGCCGTCAGAGGCCTCACGCGCACAATAAGGTCGACCTGCGACTGGCAAAGTATGCATTTTGAAAGATACCATAATCCAGGGTCCGAATCCAGGGATTTACCAAAGATTTGTATACAATTTTCGCAAAAGGCGTGCCCGCATCTGGCAATGTGTTGCGGAATCGATGTGAAACAGCTGAAGCAAGACTGGCTGCTTTGGATATGGTTCCAATCCTCAGCATATCTTGCAAGCACCATACGGTGGATCGAAGAAGCAGGCTTCCCACCGGCAAGGTATGTGAAGAATGATTCGAGGTTGGCTAAAACCGATGCAGAAAATGCGCTAGGTAACAGGAGCCCGTCGTCTCGATCTTGTTGAAACGCACTCCGTCCGACCTGTAGGCATACTACATTGTAAAGCTTATAGTATACTTCTTCGGGTTTGAATACTGAGCAATAATCAGCTCAAGGCACCTATAAGGGGGCTCCAGAACTTACAATGCATTCCCGGGGGATACTGGTCTAAGAGGATACTTGATGCGGTTACGGGTGCGGCGAACTCGTGAAGTTGCCGCGCCAGAGGCATGTGGCTTACGAAGTCTTCTAGATGTGTGGCCATAGTGGGAGAAACTGGAAAGTCTTGCCTCGACGCGCGAAGGCAGTCGAATGAGAAGTTTTGGGATTTTCCAACGTCACGGAATGCCCGATCCAACAATGAGTTGAGATGCGGTATCGTGAACAGGGCGTGCGCTTCTTCCCGTCGTTGACGGATATGTTGAAGATGTTCCACCAAGAAAGGTCTAACCAAAGAAAAAGGACCACTATGTTGTATTCGAAGTAAGACAATTTCAGGGAAAAAAGAGTCTAGAGGTTGGATGGTCTTTTCCTTAACAAGAGTATGAAACTTTCGCCTCACCGAGGTATCATCCCATTTCTTCCAGCGGTGACCCGACAATACCATGAGTAGTTGGGGAGGATACCCAGATCTCGGCGCAGGCTGGCTTTCGATCCACAAAGCCACATGTGTGGCAACAACTACCATGTCATTTTCACAGTACAAGTAGAAGCAGAAGATATCCACGAAAGGATAAAGCAGCTGAGAATATATAACGGCAACCGCTTGTGCTAGCGATTCATATACTGAGTGGTTTTCTCTTATAGGATTGCAGCACGGTATGTTCACACGGAACTTTCCTTCTAGAGCCGCCGTTACGAGGAGGAGAGGAAACTCGTCTTGCTCATCAAGATCAAGACATATCCGGTTGTCTTGCCTTTTAGGTATACGATTTATGACTGGCCGTCGGCGACGACCTATTAATAAAATAAGACTTGGGATTAAATCTTGAGATAATAATGGATATGTCAGTTGCTCTAAGCGGTTGGAGTTCGCGATGATTGGCGTCTCATCCCCCGAACACCAAATCCAATGAGAGCAGGGGCGAACCATTGTGAAGGTTCAGATAATATGACTGGGAAAATCTAAAACTATGTCAAGGACGAAATATATAATACGAGAATACAAGCAGGACTGTTTCGGTGCATCTCCTCTGGTTTCTATTTTAGTTGTGATGGAAAAACGCTGTTTACCAAAACGAGCCTCTTTAGTATCGTATTCGGCCACCAAGCTGTATAAAAGCGGCCCCATCAAGTCCCAACCGTAATTGAAACTTCCCTTATCTTCTGTCAGACACATACTAACGATGTCGTCTGGAAAATATCGTCATAAATGCATTTCTTGTGGCCGGTGCCGGTCAAAGGCCTTCCACCGACGACATCCGGCAGGTCCAGGCTACCCTGTCGTCAAAGGAGTCTGTGGCGAATGTCGACGGTCTTCCAATTCCTCCTCTTCTTCTTCAGGTAAGAAGGAAAGGGGAATGCATATTCATCACCACCATTGGCTCCATCTTTCCGACGAAGCGGGACATATATTGCCGGAGGAGATGTTGATTTCACAATCGCCATCCACGATGACGGCTTCAACTTCGGCTGTGTCTCGAAAAAAGTTCTCAAGTTTAGACCCTCCTCCTGGCTACTCTGAACTACCAGGTGATCAAGATGATATCCTTAGGACGCGTCTAGCTGAGCTAGCCGATGTTTCCAGGGCTTACCCCCACGAGCTCTCGGCGGAGTCTCCTCTCACCTATATTGAAACTTCGCCGCCGCCGGTAGGCCCGAAGCCTAAGTTGAATCCTTTTAGTTACTTTCTAAGATCGCTTCGCTCCTAAACTAGTTTCTATACCGAGAAATTATTGGTGCTTTGGGTGTTTAGGTCTTTTCTTTCGGTATAATGTATTTTCCTATCTGGTCAGTGATGTGTGCATGAGGTTGGCTTCCTAGGAAGTCAACCCAGGTACATCGTATGACGCAAGGGTCGGAAGTGGGAATTTTACTAGAGCTTTACCAGACGTTATCTCGAATAACTAGGTATCTACTAAATTAAATGATTTACTCAATTAGGATATGTTTCTGCTCTTTTGGGTATTTTTGTTTGCATATTTAAGTATTTTCACTCTTTTCATAACACAGTCAAAATTCGCGCTCTCCTCCATCTGCCTTTCATACCTACCACCTTCCCAACTCTCGCGCTCGTATCTACCGACTGGGGAAAATTTATTACTGCTTATAATTCTGAGCACAGGTACCTATAATACCACGTAGGCTGTGATTTTTTACCAAACGAGCACTTTCTTGCAAAGGAGATAGCATTCTCGATGAAGTGTTCTATCATATCCCTAGGATAGCAAGTAATTTGGCAGCTACACTACCTAGAAAACACAGAAGACTTATTCAACTTCCTTATTATTTCTCCCCCTTTGCTCTAGGTACTTCTTATTTGGCTAAGGTACCCAAGGTACCTTCATGCTCAACGCGAAGTCATATCAGGTCGAGTATTCCTAAGAAACTCCTCTAACCTTGAGAGGGGCTCCAGTCAACATACGATAACGAGAAACTAGAATACATAAGGCGGGTAACTCGATGATCGAAGACGCTACACTCGTCCTGAGAGACTAATCTCCGTTTCCAGTAGTATAGACGTTTACTAACGTAGTAACTAAATGGATTAGCCCGTTGAGAACGCTAGGGCTCTAGATCTTTTAGCTTTATTTGGCCCATCAGTAACCGATCTCGTTAGCTTACAAGAAAACACGGCTAATCAGCCAGATATAATTGTGACGGACTGTCCACCATAACCAAACGATCCCAAGACCGCCCAGTACGCAAGCGCATCCGGCTATGTACAATATTGGGATATTTCTTACGACACGCCGCAAGGCCCTTCCAGCGGCTGTACGTTGTAGCATGCTTATGCGGTCGAAATACGCGAAAGTCCCTGGGAATAGGATCAATCCAGCAAGAGAAATCCAATGAAAAATGCGAGCTAGGATATTGTAGCCCGTTCGAGCGCTCTCAGGCCCTACTATCGTATATGGTGTAGCTGTGGAAGGATCTGAAGGCATTTGGTTTGGTTTATTATTCGGGCTAATTGTTATCTTTAAAGCAATCATTGATCTAAGATGGATGTTTGGCCGTGTAAACTAGATGGCTTAAGGAAGCTCTAAATACCTGCTGATGTCGTGGCTTGAAAAGGCCACGAGACCTACGAAAGGGCTATGGAACCGGATTCGGCCACCGTGATTAAGTCTTCTTGTCTCTTGGGTAGTTTCTCCCTTATCGAGCCACAAGTTGCCCACGACAACATTAAACTTACTCAATATCACCTTTCATGGATCTTATAGAGTATTACGCGATCGGTGTAGGGGCAGGCTTCTGCCTTTTGCTAGTTGGTATGTCGGTCGTACTGATTAGAGCCCTTTGCGCGCCTGCAGGTCGCCGTCTCAGGCGCATGTTAAACCCGTTATTACCAACATGGGCATGTGGTCGGATTATCATCTCGATGCAAGAGGCTACCTTATTGTGTGTTATATTAACAATCAATGGGTTGTGCGTAGGTGTAAATGTTCGCGATGGTGTTTCCGAAGTTGCCAAGCGCCTGGGGCGCGTAGCTCTCGTTAACCTCGTTCCGATATCCTGCGGCGCCCATATGAACTATGTCATTAGTATCTGCGGGATACGCCTTGATCAGTATGCTAGGCTTCATGCATGGCTAGGCGGTATTGTTATAGTTGAAGTGACCTTACACACTATTTTTGGGCGTGGCGCGATTCACGATATTGCTGGTCTCCTGGTGAGCCTGGGTTGTACCCGTTATTGTTTACCTCTAATATGTTACCTAGGCTTCATGTTCCGTCTGGATAATTGGAGTAGTCTCCATACCTATCATCCGACGTTGGGTGTTTGAATTATTCACCAAGCTACATACAGTCTCAGCAGCAGTTGCTCTTTTTGCGCTTTGGCTTCATCTCCCCTCCTCGACGTTTTATACTAGACCGCGTCTGTACCTCCTCCTCAGCCTGTTCATCTTCATCTTGACCAAATTCGTCCGACTCTTAAATATCATATACTCGAGCGTATCTCTTAGGGGCAAGAGCATTGCTCTTGTCGAGAGACAAGGGGACGGCGTGGAAATTCGCATCCGCATGGCTCGACCACTGAAGTTCAAGGCGGGTCAGTATATATACCTTAGCTTATGGGGCCTTTCAAAGCTGTCGGCATTGGAATTCCACCCATTCCAGATATGCTGGGATTACCCGGATGAAAGTGGGCATCAAATATTAGTCTTACTTGTCCAACCCCGGAAAGGCTTCACGAAGAGTCTTCTAACGTCTGCCTCCTACCAGGAATACCTGGCCTTTGTAGAAGGGCCTTACGGAAGGCCACTATCACTTGGTCAGTACGGAACGGTCTTACTACTTGCTACCGGGGTTGGGATTACTGGCCAGCTGCCTTACGTGAAGGAGCTTCTTAAACTCTATCTTCAATGCGAAGTTAAAACGAGAAGAATTGCTTTATTCTGGGAGGTGGAATCAGAAGGTGATGGGTCCCCTCGATTGCATTTGCTACATAGGTACTGACCTCGTGTAGTACATCGATATTGGGTGAGAAAATGGATGGATGAGTTGCTAGCACTTGATAGAGACTATGTAAGCACGCTCCTCCGATAACCTGGTTTCACTAATCAATTTCAATTCCAGATTCTGGATATCCAGCTATATATCAAGGCGCATTTTCTCTCCTCAAGGGCGTCAAAGGGGGACGTGGAGAAACTTGGATCCCATGGTCGCATCACGTTAACATATGCGACGATGCGACCCAATATTATCATTGCTTCAGAAATGGAACGACGTAAAGGAAAGACATTGGTATCCTGTAAGTCCGTCACAGGTTAAGCTTATTGATTAGGAGTTTCTAACCTGAAAGTATGTACGAACCCATCAACAACCCGTGTTATCACGGATATCCTCGAACACGCCGCTCATACAGATGTTGACGTTAAAAGATTGGATTTTCAACCTTGGACCACGAAAGTAACGGAAGTTCGTTTCTAATTCTGATTGGCTTTTTTTCTAGGACATGTATCACGGAGTTGATCTCTGTTTGACCTCTTATATCCTTTCAATTCGTCTCCTATGGACCTTCGTCATTAAATAGACTCATATAAGGCAATTTTATCATTCCGTAGCCCAACAGATATACCAAGTATTAGATACCTAAGTACTCAGACATTATACCTCGCCCTGTTGATATCATTTAGGCCCTTACGAAAGCTGCTGATGGCAAGTTGCAACCTTTCGCTAAGGTATTGAACCTCCTCACGAAGATTTTCACCTAATATTTGAATTTGGTGGAGATATGCTAATTCTTCACGCAACCGACCATTCTCGCGAGTTCTGATTTCGATGATTTCCTTAAGCGACGGAGTAGGTCCCGTTTTTCCTGCCTCAAGATTTTCCCTAGTGGCATCTAAGGCAACAGATGACCCGTTTGCTTTCGCGATAGTCTCGTCGAGCGGACGGGGAGGTCGGGGGCGATCCATGGTGTTTTATGTAGATCTCGCAAAGTTGTAGAAGCAAATAGGGGTAAGGTTCATCTAAAATTAAACGATGTTCTAGACACCAAGACTATAAACTTAGATCGTAGATGAACTATGCACTTGGTATTTTAGACTCTACCAATACTCCGGACTATATAGTTGAACTGAAAGGACGGAAGTGGCTATAGCGGCTTCTTTCGGACACGATTACAAGCATATAGCTACCTACCTACCTTAGGTACATAAAAATAGTGTTACTGTTCGCACGGGCAATTGATAGTCGTGATACATAGGTAGGTAGGCTAGGTACCTAAGGTAGGTTTCTGGCCGAGAGATTTAGGCCTTATTAGATATCGGTGGAATTCCCACAAGACACTCGCTGTATCAGTATCATCCAGATGCTGATATCTCGTAAGTCTACTTGAGTAGGTTGGGAGGTAGGTAGTAATATTCGTAACTGATTAACTAAATCTTTGGGAAGTTAGGTACCCGCCTAACCCTCATAATCCTATATAGACACCTATTTAAGATACCTCACATAATTCAAACTTAGGTACTACACAGGATATTCCAGCACTACCTAGCCCTTGAAGCTATCGCTAGCGATACTAACTCTTACGAGCGCCACGCCTTCTACCGCGTTCATTTGTCGATGCCGTTGCTAGTCGTCTTTGCCATGATAGGTTTCTCTCGTAGTTTAATAACCTTAATAGCTCGTTTTTCTCTCTGCCTCCTTCAGTGAGGCATCTTTCATAATAGCACCATTGATTCCGGGCATCCGTCTCAAGCCTCGCTACTAGGTCAGTCAGATTCTTAATTTCCACGTCTTGCTCCTCGATTCTCTTCTTCTTTTCCGCAGATTCGTCACGGTATTGGTCGAGCATTAAATTGTTCATCTCCTTCTGAAACTGTTCCGCGTCACGCTGCTGTATCGCTATCTGCCTTTCATCACATACGCGACCAATGTCGCCAACCAACAGACTATAGTCCGCTCGCTGTCTATTTACTTCCACATGTAGGGAATCATTTGCTCGACGCAGCCAGTTCAATTCCTCTTGTAGGTTTGCGATACGGTCATGTTGCTCCTGCTTGAGGCTTTCGTGCTCATCGCCAAGATCCCTGATCTTTTGACAGAGTTTTTCGCATGCCAGGCTAGTATTCCAAAGTTGAAGTTTCAGCCCAGTTGTGGCCTCTGGTAATGCCCTTGAAAGGAATGACCGAGGTTGTTCGTCAGACGGCTCGCTCTTGAGCCGAGTCTGGTTATCCTTTATTATCTTAGCATTCAATCGCCTTGAGGAGAGGGAAAGGGAAAATTGCATACCATCTTGTGCCTTCTCGCGCAACTAATTACAAAGCTTTACACATCAAAGCACAGAGGTACTTGGTAAGTTAGGGGATTGGGATTTGAGGGTGAATTAAAAGGTTCCCATCATTGCGTTGCACACTATTTTTAGCACTACTAAGGCCTTAAATGGACACAGTGGCACGCTTAAAGAGATATACAATGAGCCAGAAATGGATTTTATAACTTAATTGTCACGATACTGCGTACAGGAAAATACCAAATCTACCTCTACGATACTTAGCCATACCTATTATAAGACTGTTTTAGTCAATGCCAATTCATACATCCATAGGTACACGTGCCAAGCTTAACCCAAGTTCAGGCCTCGCATGTAGGACCACCATTTCAAGCCCTAACCTAACTATCAGACCTAACAAGCCCGTAGACATACCTAAGAAAGCTTACAGAAAGGCAAAAGAGTAGTGGCAACTACAGAATAAACGACTAGAGAAATCTCCAACGCTAAGTTTCAATTAAGATATCAAGATGATTTCTAGGTCATATCATAGGGTTAGGTACTAACTCTATTTTAAAGTGAACTACCTATTCAATAGAGTGATGCTATTTGTAGATTACCATGACAGCCCTTCCACGTAGATTACCCCACAGAACAGGTGTAAGTAACTGGCAACCAAAATTATTAGTAA